AAATATAATTTTTTAAAATCTTTCTTTTTAAATGCAAGTAAATGACCAATATTACATTACTACTGCCTGATTTTAGTTTATATTCTTTCAAATAAAAGTAGATGTCACAGTAACTGAGAGGAGGAGGAGATTTAAAAATACAACAAATTTTGGGCGAGGAGAGTATAAGGGACTACATGGTAATGGAAAAACATACAATAAAGATTAAATAAAAAAATAAAAATAATTTTAAAAAAGTTTAAATAGGAATAAGAAATGATAATTTGGGTATAGTTTTTAACAGGGTGTTCTAAATAGTTCCTTAAAGTTAAAAGAGGGAGATTTTGTTCACCTATAATCCTATGAATAATTTCTACTTTGGAGCTTGGAAAGGGTCCTTGAGATTTATTTTCATCTGAAAGCTTTATGCCTCTCAACTTGTCATTTTCCTCTGCTTGAGTGTGTGGAATGTGCATGAGATGTTAAAAGGGGCTCCAAAGAACATGGTCTGGGTTTTCTGAATTTTACAGAAGCAGTGGCAATTTTTATTACTTTTCTCAGAGTTATTTGCATTTCAAAAGAGTCTGGCCAATAGCAAATACAGTGACCATCCAAAGCACTCAGTAAATGCTTAGTCAGTAAAAACGGATGGATGTTAAGACTGACCTCAGCAAGCACGGGGCTGAGGCTGCCCTTGCCAACCCGAGAGGTCAGTGAGCATCGACTTTGCCTCTTCTACCTCCTTCTGCCCTTCTCTTCCTTCATGCAATGCCACCTTTGACCTCAGGAACTAAACTGAGATTCTTTCTGCCGGCTCACGGAGGGAAGATGCCAATAATTAAGTAACAAACTATTAACTGACAACATTAAGGCGACTGCCCCCTTGATTTCCGTCTGCAGCCAGTACATCTGGGGCTTGGGCAGCTGCCAGGGAAACCATGGTGACCCAGCCACCAGAGAAACAAAGCCAGGGAGTCATGTTTAGGTGTACAAAATCCAAGTGGGAAATTATGCAGATAAATAATGCTGCTTTGGTGGTCAACTCTGATCTTGTCACAAATAAGTTAGGGAATAAGATGAGATCATGGATTTTAGAATTGTAGCGGTTGATTATTCTGTACTAATAAAGAAACAGTGATGAGGAAGACCTGTTACTGGTCCTCCCACACTGCCTGATCAACCACCTCCAATCCCACACAGATGTGATTCCATCCGAGAGAGGACCACAGTCAGAGACCGAGGTCCATCTGAGCTCCTGGCCTGAGTCTCCCAGACCGCCAGCTCCGGAAAAACCACATGCAGACGAATGCAAAGGGAGACACATCATTCAGAGATACTGACATGGACACAGATGGAGTCCCTCAGCTGTGGAGCGGCCTCCTGTTGGGATTGTACAGGAAAGCTGAGACCTAGTAGGAGCAGCCAATGCGGGACCCGCACAACGCCCTCCTGGGCACACTCACTCACAGCCCCACTTCTCCAAGCTTCTCAGCGCTGTCTCTCTGGGAGCCCAGGGCAGACAATGTGGGGCTGAGAGTTGGGAAGATATGCATCCTTTCTGCAGAGCTGGCTACAGAACATGTCCAGTTCTGGTTACACCAGACATCACATGGTTGGGAAACATTACCCAGAAACTGGACAGTCGCACCATGTTTATTGAGTATCACCTATGTGCCTTATGTACCTTCCCTGATCCAACTGCAGGCCCCTGATTTAAACACTGCGGCCACCTCCTCAGGGTTGCCACCAGCATCCATGCAGACCTGGACCACTAACCACAATGGTCTCCGAACCCCTCCGTCTGCTTCCATTTTGGACACCCCCTGACCCAATTCCTTCTTTTCACTCTTTCTAAATATCATTCAGGTCCTGGCCTGGTGGCTCAGTTGGTTGGACTATTGTCTCATAGGTGGAAAGGTCATGGGTTTAATTCTCAGTCAGGGCACATACCCAGGTTGTAGGTTTGAACCCTTGCTGGGGCACATATGAGAAGACAACCAATTGATGTACCTCTCTCACATCGATGTTTCTCTCTCTCTCTCTCTGTCTCCCCCCTTTCTCTACTTCCCCCTTCCTCTCTCTCTAAAAGCAATAAAAAGTCCTCAAGTGAGGATTAAAAAAAATTGGTGAGGATTGACAAAATAATAATATATATGAGTCAGATGATGTCACACTTTCTCATAAACCGTCTGATGGCCCCTTGTGGCAGAGTACAGGAGGATGGGTCAGGAGGCTCTGATCCTGACTCGGTAGAGAGACACCAGGAGAGGGAGATGGGGCTTAAAGAAGCAAAAGGGCAAGCCAACCAAAGAAGGAATGCCCCACCCCCACCCTACAGGGGCGGATGCTGAAGATGACTTGGTGGGTTAGGAGACGACCCTCAGTGCAAACCCTGGGGGCCAGGAGCTGGGGAAGACAGGCCCATGTTTGGGAATAAACGTGGCTCCCCTGAGTCACTGCTTCCAGGAACACTGGGTTTGAGTGAGGGCAAACTGGCTCCACAGAAAAGCCATGAACTTGTGAGACCTGCCAGTTGTCTTTGACTTCTGCTGAGTTCTCATAATTGAATCTTAGTCCATTAAGGAAGACCCTTCAGTCCTCTGTTCCTGCCCAAACATTAACCAAACACAGGGCAAGGGTGGAGTCCTGGGAAAGGGAGCTCCCTTGGACTTTTGTAGGCAGGGTCAGCCTTCCCGAATGTGGCAAAAGGAAAACTTGAAACCAAGAGAGTGAGCCTCCCAGGGAAGGCAGGTAGCTCCCCACTCTGCTCTCCTGTGCGGAGAAGGGGTGTGGCAAGGCGCTGCTCTGACCCTCTGGGTTTGCTGTGTGTCCTGTACAGCTCCAGCCCCTCCTACTCCTCAAAGGTATTTACCGTACAGGTAATATCACTTCCTGTGTGCACCGTGAGCAGAGCAGTTAGAGAACACAGTTTTCTAGACCTTGGATGCCCCCGCCTCCACCAGCCTGCTGAAAACCATCCATGCACACGATCTCCTGACAGATGTCCTAGAGGCCAGCAACTTGGAAGCAGAGGAAAAGAGAGATGCGGAAGTAGACATAACCCAGTCTCTTCCTGGAAGCCGATCTGAAAAGTGCCATTTTTACCACTAGCTTAAAAGTGTACAAAAAATATATATATCCAGAAAACAATGTGAAGAAAATCAAATGAACGACGTGCTTACAGGACAAAGAAACTGTCTCCAAAGCAAGCATCGTTACAGATTGAACGCTCGCAGCTCAGCAGTGAAACTCAGAAGCTCCAGCTGCAACTTCAAATGCTGCTGGAATTATATCAAGGGCATGGGAGGCAGCTTCTGGGAAAAACAATCAAGGAGGAAAGTCACTGCCTGGAAATGGGGATGAGATATCGCAAGGTGTGTGGAAATATGAACTATAGCCATCAGAAGGGCAGCCTCTACCAGAAGATGTCAGGAGATATGGGAAAAGAATTGAAGAGCACCATGTTCTCCAGTCAAAAGCAAATTCTCTTCTCTGAGAAGAGCTCAAGAAAGGAGGAAGGCAACTCCTTTGTCTGAGACACAGCTCCACGAGGAAAAATGATGACATCAGACAGATACTGGTGAACATGCAGTTCAAGTCCAGTCCTTTCCCAAGTGAAGATTTTGCTCCTGAGGCTCCATGTGCAGCCCACAGAAGCCCAGAAGTTCCAGGGCATCACCTGGGCCCTTCTGGAAGGAGCCAGGTTGTGCTGGGAGGGCTTGAGGGTCCCGTGGAGACTCAATTCATCTTTCACAGCAGCTGGGCCTGAACACTCGCCACCATGGCAAGACATAGCCCATGTCTTTTCTCTTTAAATTAATTTTGATTCGTCTATTTTAGTCTTTACGGAGTACCTGTGATTATTTAATTGGTGCTGCAATGGCTCACATTGAAGTTGAACAGCATGACAACGCTTAGGTGGTAGTTTTTCAAATGTACATACATCTAATATAATTCCCAGGAATACATTCTTTTCATGTCATTGGACCCTCTACAATTAAATAGTATAACTTTTATTTTGATTTTAATAGAAAGTCCACTTTACCTAAACCATACACATTTTTTAAATGTAAATATTGTAACTCTAGCAAAACTTCATTTTTGCATGTTACCTCCCACATGTATGGTTCAAATATATTTGTACTAATAGCATATATTTGTTTTATGCTTAGATATTTAACAGCAAATAAGTTCACCCACCTGAACAAAAACCTGCTCTTTGAGGTATTTACTACAATAAACTATATATATTGCCAAATCTTTTGTTACAAGTGCTACATAAGTTCTTTCACCCCTCTTCCCTCCCAGGAATAGTGTCCTGCCGGGACCTGAGACATTTAGCTTGACTTCTGGACTTGTGCTGTCAGCGGAATTTTACTTGTAAACTAAACTTTATACACAGTTGGATTAAACAGAGCATTTCAAACCACCGTGACCCTCCATATGGCTTTGGCTCCTGCCGTTCCCTTAAAATTGCTCCTTTTGAAATGTGTAACCGTCCCTACCTTCTTCTCCCAGACACAGTCTTTAAATGTTAAGAGTTTTCCAGGGTCCCACCGGGAGCCCTAATGTTTTCTCTCACCATGTCCTCTCTGTGGGGCAGTTCTTCTACTCCTTGGTTTCAAATACTTCCCCCAGCCCTCGTCTAAGCTCATACATGCCATGTGTTCACCTTACTAATCAAACTGTCTCCTCACCATTTCCCCCCTTTGAAATGAAGATTGAAGATGGTGGAAGTAACCACAGAAGAGTCCTAGAATGTGACCGTCCTTAAAAATTCAGAACTCTCCTCATGGGCACCTCAAATTCAATATCTCCAAAATAAAACTCTCGATCTAACCCGCTCCCCCTTCTATGACATTTTCTCCCCTAGTTTGTTTGTTTTTTTTTTTTTTCATATCAGTGAGTAGAACCATCTCCCAAGTCTAAATCCAGTATGCTGCCATACTTAATCCCTCTCTTCCTCTTTTCTACCACTTGCAGGCAATGCTGCCCCTTCTGCTTTTTTGACTATTTCTCACCTTTGACAGTTTCTCTCCAGTCCTGAGCCAGCCGTTCTCCACTCATTCCTGAATCACAGCAGTGGCCAGACTTCCCTTTTTTCCTCTTGCTTCCAGCCAAAAGAGAGCTAGAGTAATTTTTTAAACAGACTTTGAATCATTATACACTACTCTTTGACAACCTTAATGGACTGTATGTTCAGTAAAGTCTAACCCTCGTTCATGGCCTGCCCGATCTGGCCTCTTCCCTTTTTCCTGTCTTGTCCTACCTGTTCCCTGACCCTGCACATCTCGGTGACACTGAACACTTTCTCTAAATGAACATACTAACCCATTTTCTGTTTTAGGGTCTTGTGCCCACTGATCCTTCTGCTTGGGACCTTACTCCCTGCTCTCTTTTCTTGTTCTCCTTCTGCTTCAGTGTGACCGCCTCTTAGGGGCCTCCTTCTACTTAACTAAATACACACACCGAGTTAATGTCTTACTACAGCTTTTCACTAATAGCATTCAGTGAATACTTTTAATTATGCATTTTTTTGTTCATTGACCATCAGATGCTCTGCCACTTATTTTTTTTCCTCCATCCTCAAGAAGTTTTTCACTTTTTTTGCTGTTTACTTTTTATTAGTTAATTGTATATTAATATTTGTTGAATAAATAGTTTACAACTATGAACACAAGAGAATTGCGTTTTAAAAGGGGAAGTGTTTAAACTTCCAAAAATTTTTAAAAAGCCATTTTCATTGCTTTGAAGTTTTCAGGCTTATAATCATTTGATATTATAAGCCAATAAAATAATTGTAAGTAATAGTGCCCTCCGGAAACTGGTCTACAGGGAAAGAGAGGTGCTAACCTGCGAATTTGTTGGGGATGTTTATCTGAAGATTGAAGATGCTGATGGAAGTAATCACAGGGCATGGTTAGTCTTAAGAATTCAGAATTTTTCTTCCTGGTGTTTATGAGAAGAATAATGTCAACACTGGTGTTACCCAAGGTTGTTCTTTTTCAGTTACTGGTTATAATAAAGAAGTCATATTGCCCTGACTGGTGTGGCTCAGTGAACTGAGTGTATTCAAACCAGAAGGTCACCGGTACCATTCCCAGCCGGGGCACATGCCTGGTTACTGGTCAGGTTCCCTGTTAGGGGTGTGCAAGAGGCAACTGATTGATGTTTCCTTCCCTCTCTATCTCTCTCCCTTCTCCTCTCTCTAAAAAGAAATAAATAAAATCTTCCTTTAAAAAAGAAGTCATGTGGTCTGACAAAATGAATGACCAGAGGGTTTTATCATCATGGAACTGGTTCAGATGAAACATCCGAACATCTGGGATTCCCTCAGAGTTCAGGATCCTTTCCTGGTTTACAAAAAAGGCATTTAAAAAACATCTGGTTTGGATTCCTTCCATTTGTTAGTTTGGTAAGCAGTTTAAAATATCACATAGTCTGAATCAGCCAGTGTGTTCAAAAACTTTGAAGAAAAGCAGTCTTCAGTGAGGAATATTATGGAACTAGACAGCAAGTTAATTTTATACTATTCTTTTGTTTATGTTTACCTATAAAAATGAGTATAAATCATTGTTATCCACCACGATGGTAAAATTGGACAGAAATATTTATTGTTGGCATGAGTTCTGTTTCTTTGGTTATAGCATTATATTAGCCTGTATCAATTAATCAGGAAAGGAAATTGTTCAGGTGCAAAATCAGGACAACGGAGCGCTGAGCTGAGAGGCCACGCAGGCCTTCCCAGAGCCCCCCAGCTCGTCCTTTAGACGCAATAACCCCACGGCAGCCATGACACCTGTGCCAGGTTACCAGCCCAGGGAGCCAGATGCCCAGATTGAGAAGGGAAGCTGAGCAGAACCTCCATGGAGAAGGCTGAACAGCAAAAAACCATGGTGTTTATATCAGCCGTCGACCTCTAGGCAGGATAGGAGAATTTTTAAAACAGCATTAAAACTAAGAGTTATAAACATCCTCTCTGAGAGTTTACAGGAACAGCTCCATACAGAGCAAAAATTAACTGAAAAGGCAGGGGGAAGGAGGCTTTTCTGGGTAACAGGTGGCCACCGCGGGCCCCTGAGCATGTGCACTGACGGAGGAAACACTTGCCGGGGCTCCACACATAGTCCCGGCCCACGGCAGCAACACGGCTGATGCAAAGGAGCACTTTGGGCAACTGCAAGTGGAGAAAGAACATTAATGAGAAGCTTTGCTGCAAAGAAATCACCATTTTGATGACAACAAGCAGGGATGAGGAGCAGCCTGAGCCTGGTGGGGATTACTTACCAAGGGAAAGAAAAGGAAGAGGCCCTGACAGGCTGCCCTCCACGGATGTGGTTGTTATTTGCAGCCAAGGTCCCAGTGTGGGCAGACCAGGTCCGCAGTGCTCCTTAAGGACAAGAGTGTGAGCAAGTTCATTCCCACGGAAGTGGGTTTAATGCTATACTTGCAGGAATGGATGTTAATGGAAGGCAGGCATTTCTAATCCTGAGGTGAGAGGTTGGAGAAATAAGGGAAAAGGATGAATAGTGGGTTCTTACTTGACCATCTCTTTCATTTTTGTCTTTCCTCCTCTCGAAGCCTGTGTTCATCTACTATGCCGCCATCACTAGGAATGATGTGGTGCATTATGACATTCATTGTGGGGAGTGATGAATGAACTGTGAGTTAGGAAATCTGGATTTGAGTTCATGATCTGTGCCAGCAGCTAGCTGAGTGACCCTGCTCAAGTCTTTTGAGCTCAAGTTCCTTCCAGGATCTTGTTCTGCTAACAACATTCTCCCCCTCAGACCCAAAACTACTACTACTACTACTTCTTCTTCTTCAGATTTTATTTATTTATTTATTTTTGAGAGGGGAAAGGAGGGAGAGAAACATCAATGCATGGTTGCCTCTCATGTGTCCCCCACTGGGGACCTGGCCTGCAACCCAGGCATGTGCCCCAACTGGGAATTGAACTGGTAACCCCTTGGTTCACGGCCTACACTCAATCTGCTGAGCTACACCAGCCAGGGCCCAGAACTTCTTCCTGCTTGACTTTCTACCTGCCTTCATTCTCCATGGCCCATTAATTCCTAAACTCTGCCTTGAAAAGCTCTCAGTGGTTCAGACCCACAAGCTCACCCGGGCTAGGGCCTCTTCCCAAGAAAGCCTCTCTCAGCTTGCAGAGGATCTGAGCCATTTTCTGCCCCATTCATGTCCCCTCTCCCTCCCCCACACCTGCCCAGTAAAGCCCAATGCCTTTGAGGACAAGTCAAATCCTAAGTTCACTAAGAAACATCCTAAAAGCCTCTCGAAATGTATTTCCTCTGTCCTCCAGAGTTATTTCTGTGTACATCTCTCTCTCCTGCTCCTCCTTGAGTGTGGGGTCCTCGAAGGAGGAATCAACTCTTCCTTGCCACAACCCCTAGCTTTCAGTGTTGTTGAGTCTGTTGAATTGCTTACTGGAATAAGTGTCAAAGACCTTCCGTTTAGGTCATTTAGTACACGCGTAACACATTCTGTGACTTTGTTGAGCTAGAATCCACATGCTATACAATTCGCCCAGTGTACAACTCAGTGTTTTTAGTACACTCCCAGGGTTGTGCAACCATCACCACAACCTAATTTTAGAACAGTTTTGTCTCTCCGAAAGCAAACCCTGCACCCATTAACTCCCACTATCCCAGTCACTCCCATTATCCCAGCGCCCCTACGCTCCTGAGAACTGCTCATCTACTTTTTGTTTCTGTAGATTTGCCTACTGTGGACAGTTATGTAAATGAAATCATATAATATGTGGTCTTTTGTGATCTAAGCTTCATGCTGTTGAAACATTCAGAGATTGTTCTTTTTAAAAGGTTGGCTCCGTTAAATAAATCTCTTGCAAAATTCACTCTCGATGGGAGAAACCATTAATCAGGCAGGAAGAACACTGAGTGACCTTTTTCAGGGTATTTGTATTTTCCCAAAGAATAACAATTCTATCATACAAATAAATGACTCTTATTTAAGGAGAGGACACTTTGGGCAAACGTAAAATGCATCATGGAGCAGTTGTCTTCTCCCAAGGCTGGCTGGCCCCTCTAGCATCTGCTGAAGGCAGCCCACCTTGATGGGAAGAATGATCAAGTTCTTGGTAAAGGCCAAAAGTTTGCTATGTACCTTCTCGCTAATAGGACTAGGGAGGTTTTTTTTTTTAATAACCCTTGAAAAGTATACAGAGAATTAAATTCATCCTCTTATTATCAATTCTGTGGATTCTAAGGTGCACATTTTTCCACATTTAAATGTTCCTTCAATTGGGATGGATTTTATAGTCACCGCCAACCTGGTTGGTGGCAGTCACAAAGGAGTTGTCACTGGTGGCACAAGCACACACCTACATAGCTGCTCATAGGGCACTTCAGCTGAGGCGAGTGCCTGGTTGAAACTGCCTGTGCTGAGTCTCCAGGCCATTTACAATGTCCTCAGAAATCTATGCTATGATTTGACACTGACATTCTACATGCCCACTGCTTCCGGTGGTGCCAAAGGTGATATTACGAGAAGAAACATAGATATTGTTGACCAAGGGTTAAAAAGAGATTCAGAAGACTCAGACTCTGCATGCAAAAGCATTTTAAGAACCCTCTAATCAGACAGTTTTCTCTTCATGTATTCACAAGAGTGATATGTGATCTTCAAAAATCTGTGTCACAATCTAAAGGAGCATTTTCAAACAGATTTTTTTAAAAGCTTGTGTTAAAGTTGAATTAGCAGGTATTTGTTTCTTTCTCAGTGGCAATAAAATGATAATTTTACAATCTCAAATTCTGCTTCTTCCATGAGGCATATACCTGATGTATCTCATTCCACGCCCTTTGTGAGTTAGAGAAGGGGCTCAGAAATGGAACCAGATTCTCAGCGACTCGAGCCGGCAGGGCTAGAAAAATGAGTCTGATGTAAGGAACTCAGGAGGTTACTTCTCATGCCCCAGTGCTTGTACAGAGAACGACACAAATCATGACAAAGATAAGCAAGTTGGGGTACACAGGATCCAAGTGGGGTTCAGTTTTCACTGTGCCGGCCAGCAGCCTGGAGACGCTCTATAAGCTCCTGGAATCCTCCCGAGGATTGCAGAACTCCATAAACTACATGCTGACATCATCCCTGTCTGGGCAAAAACAGGACCGGCAGCCACCCAAGAAAGGCCTTTCAGAATCCCTAATGAGTTAGTCACCGTAAACCCGAGCAGGAGCGGGAGAACATGCTGCAGCCGCCGGCCGGCCTCGGCCCAGGAATTCCGCCCCACATTCGCCAATAACTTTACAGTCGCATCTGCCTTCCCTGCCAAGCTCTGCCCTAAAGGAATTTATCACCTTCTGTTCTGCTTTTCTTCCCAAATGTGAATCAGAAGCCAACAATACCGTATAAGAAGGTACTTTCAACCAG